TAAACAAAATGGCTTTATGTGAGAAAATTCCTTTTGATTCCGATAATATTAAAAAAACTTATGAAGAACGCTTAAGAATTAAAAATAGAGGGAAGCTCAAGATTTCGCCCGTACCCAAAGCCAGTTTCTATATCCATACATGTATGCATGTATGTATAAATGTATGTACATATGTACATATGTGCAATGTCCATGTGTATTTAAATATTTTAATTTTGTAAGAAAACTCAACAGGCGCTTATTATCCATACAATAAAATCACTATGAAATACACAGAATAATTGAGAAAAAATTAAGCTTAATTGCTGGAAACAGTAATTTGTTTTCCTTAACTCTTTTGCAATGTTAAATACATCTACACTAAACCAACCTATGTACATGAATACAGACTGAGTTTGTACAACTACCTTATTCCGCCCTTGAATACGTTTGTGATAATAATAGAAATATCAAACTAATTAGTCGAATCTCTAGCTTATGCTTATGACCGTTTGTATGTATATGCTTTGAGACCTATGTATGTATAATTCCTTACTGGCAGGAAGGTAGGAAGACAGACAGATCAACAAAAGGACATTTGAACCAACTTAATTCATTACTTGCTTACACTTAATTCACTTAATTTCATAGAACTACAGTGATAATTTTATACAATTCGAAAACAAGTTTGTTTTATACAATGTTTTGACACATGTCGTTGGGAAAGATTATGTTTTTTTTACTAACCTGAGCTTGAGTAAATAAAACTCTTCGTTTTCTCCTCTGCGCCAAAGGAAACTGTAGTGGTTTTGTATCACTAACACTGCACGCTGCTAATCCACTCATATTTCCCATGTGACCCATTGATCCACTGGCTGTTGTACTCATTAGACGGGATACTGAAAAAAAAAACATTTTTTAATTTATATATGTATAACGCTTTGAAAAAACCTCGACGCAATTCATATGTTTGTGTGCATGTTACAGTTAACTAATCGGCATATTAAAAAACTATAAATAAAAACTTCATAGCTGGTTTTTTCGTCGATATCGTCTGCCTATCAATACAATTGTCCCCGTGGTTATTTTTACTAAGGATTTTTGGTAGGTAATTTTTGTATTTCTGATTCCCGCGTCCTCAAATACTGAACCCCAATGTTATTGGAGTTATAGGATATTATGGAAGACAAGCATACATTTTTTGTTTTAAATGTGTTGTTTGAGTAGATTCTTTAGATTCGTAAAACGAATTTTTATAAATGAAAAAGCAAAGCCCCACATCAATGGCAAATACATACATATATGATAAAAAAAATTATTTGTATGGCAAAATCTTTTTTTTTATTGGACATTGGAATTTGGCCGGCAGGTTTCGCCCAGTATGGGAGCTGTTCTGCTATGTTGTTCATTATAATTTGAACAATTTCCCTAAATCTAAAACGTACATTTTAAAAAAGATCAGACGATATGGGCAGTCAAAAATGATAAGTATCGATTAATATCCCAAATTCCCATTAGAATAGGCAGACCAATACCAACCAATACCAAAACCAACCAATATCCAATAATGCACATTCATACATGTCCATATGCATATATGTACATACATACATACGTACATATTTACAATTCATGTAAATATGTATGCACATATGTATGTGTACTGCACACATATGCATATAAAAACACAAAGATGTACATGCATCCGAAAAAAAAACATTCAAAAAAATTGAAAGGCCGTAAATTGAAAAGTCCACAATCATCTTTCCATTTCTAAAATAAACAATGACAACCAAATAATTTAAAAATCAATTATTTTCACACATGCCTGTTCATACCTGAAATACATAGGGTAGTTGCTGGGTATTTTAGTTCACATTTAAAATATCGTTGCAGGTTTGAATTCAGAAGATTGGCGGTTCGTACGAACTTATGTAAATTTACGAGTAAGGTTCGCGTAAGTATTTAAAAATTACATATGTATACCAGCATAATAAGACGATATACCTAAATTGTAGCTATGTATGTGTGTGTGTGTGTGAGTTTATGGTAGAATAGGGTAAATTATGGTCGAGCATTACGCACCGCAGCATTAGTACATAATTATTTTTGAATAAACATAGAATTAATAAGAATCTACATTGATTGCATGACTAGGCAGTTATGAATATCTCTAAGTGAAAAATAAATCCAAAAAATGTCAAGTACTTTTTTTGGGAACTTTTGTTTGTTTCTTTATTTTCCTGTGATAGAATGTTTTGGGAACAGTTTTTTAAATATGCACATACATACACCTACATATGTATATATGTACATATGTTGGTAAGTATGTGTCTATATTGATATTTTTCTGGAATGCATAGTCAGAAAGGCACAATATTTTAAAGATTGCGGTGATTATCCTGACACGGCATTTATTCAAATGAGACCGGTAGGAATGTCTGATTCTGTCAATTATAATTATTTATAATAATTAAATATAATTACAAATGTATGCATGTATGTACATTAAAATATTTTACATGAATTTTGCATATTTATTTAAAACAACTTTTTTATATCTCTGAAGATGGTATGGGGAAAAGGAATCAGCTTCGATCCAACAAATATGTACACTGACGAGCAAAACTGTAACACGATGTCAGTAGACTCACTTCAACGGTCTGTATCTTCTGTTCTCTTTTATGCATGCTGAAGATCTTGTTTTGTTGGTGATTAAGTCTACTATGTTTTCTGAAAATTTTTTGCCATTTGATAGGCCGGGAGAAATATGTATGCCAAGCCAAAATGTAAAAAAAGTCAAATGTTACAGTTTTTGCACTGCAGCTATATGTTAAATGAATATTTTTATTGAAATTTTTTTAGATTTTTTGAGTTCCTTAATGCGATTTGGCATACTTTGGGTGTATCGTTGCACAAATTCAGGGGGTATAGAGTACCAAACGTCCTTTGCCCTCTCCCACAGCTCTTTCATTCCAGTTGGAGGGATTGCATATTTCTCCAGCTGCGATTTGACTTGGCTCCATAAATTTTCAGTTGGGTTCATGTCTGGAGATTGTGGTGGCACCTTGAAATTTTTGCTTCAATATCCCATTTTTTAGCAAAATAGACGAAAATACATTTTTCGGCAGCAAGACCCATGTTCCGGATCGCATCTGGCAGATTCTATTGCAGAATGTTTAAATACTGCTCTTTTTGCATTATGCCATCAATTAAAATCAAAGGACCAACTCTATTTTTATGTATACAGCCCCAAACCATGATTGAGCCACAACCGTGCTTAACGGTTTGCCGCACAGTACTTGGGGACTGGATATTGGGATCTCTAGTCCAATACCAGGAGTGTCTGACTCAAAACGATTAATTTTTGTTTTATCTGAACCATATAAACTTATCCCACAATCCAGTCACCAATTAGCAAAACCAACTTAAAGTCAGCGTCAAGCACGGTGGCTGTTCAATTATGGCTTGGAGTTGGAGTTGGTCTCTTGGTGTTAATTGATGGAATAGTATGAAAGGAACAATATTTAAGCATTCTGCAACAGAATCTTCCAGAATATGGGTCTTGGTGGTGAAAAATGCATTTTTCAGCTAGAAAATGACCCAAAACACACGTCCCTTTTGGTAAAAAATTGAGTGTCATGGCAAAAATTTAAGTCCATAAAGTATCCACCATAATCTCCCTATATAAATCTTTTTTTAAAATGTATGGAACCATCTAAAATCGCAGCTGCTGAAATATGCGGTCTCTCCAAGTGCAATGATGGAGTTGTGGGAGAGGAAAAGTATGTATGGTACGTTATTCAACCTGCAATGGTGCAACTCTAAATGGCAAATCGCATAGGAGAACTAAAAAAATTAAAAGGCTGTGGACACATTATTAAAAAATTATTAATAAAAATATTTGTTTAAAATATAGCCGCAGTGCAAAACTGTAACATTTGACTTTTTTTACATTTTGGTTTGTCAAATTTCTTCTGGCGTATCAAATGGCTTCGAATTTTCAAAAAAACTGGTCAAATGATTCACCAACAAAACAAGACTAAGATCGTTAGCATGCATAAAACAGAGCACAAACTACAGACCGTTAAAGTGAGAGTACAGAATTAGTGTTACAGTTTTGCTCGTCAGTGTATATACATTTTATGTACACATATTATTGATCAAGATGTCATATTTCGATATTCCGATTGTGCTCTATCTGCGTATTCTTCTATTTCAACGAAATTTTGAGTCTTTTCGATAAATAAACAGAAAACATTTCGGACTTAAAAAATAAGATTTACTAATTGTAATATACATATGTATGTATATATGTACATATGTATGTATGTTAATGTATATTATTCTATACTTACTAGCAAATCTTGGATCATTGGCCGTTGATCCGTACCATGACGCAGAGCTTCTCATGTCTGTGTAGTGGCCGGCTAGAGATAAATTATCTGTTGGTCCGCAATAGCTTTGCACTCCCGGACTATGATATAAGGATCCCATAGCGTATGGATTCGCCATAGTTGAAGCACTTAATGTTCCAGGGGAATTTATGCTACTACCACTTGAATTGGATCTATAAAGATATATTCATACGACATTAATGGCTACTAATTTAAATTGAATGAATATAAATTGTGATTTTATATAAATCCATTGTTTAAAATTTACTTTTACTTTGCAGAAACTATAATAAGTAAGAACGTCAATAGTCGATATTCCAATTACAAGATACACGCTAACAAGGAACTACGAATTTTTAAGCAAATTCGCAATAACTCAATGGGAAAGCTACCGAAAGGGTTTTATGGTGTATCTCTGCAAGTTCGTTATTCTGGCTGTCATAAATATTATAATCAATTATGGGAGATACTAGGTATAACATAATTATAATATCGTGTCAACTAGAGATTTGTCTGTATTTAAAGGGAACGGTAAGGATGAGAAGATAAGAGTACAATAATAAAATTAGACATGCATATTTTTGTAATTCCCACAAACAAACTTTTTATTCATAGCTGACGGAACTAGTGCTCGCAGTAAAAGGGTATATCGTAAGAAAATTAATTTTTTCAATCCTAAGACCATGTATATTTTTAATCAGAAAGCGAGTCGATCTGGCCAAATTTTTTTTTGCAAGAGCCAGCTGGATTTTGTAAACCATTAAAACAAGAGCAATCAATCATGTGCATACATACATACATATGTACTATGATATTTAACTGTACGTCCATTTCTGTAACCTAGTGCTCCAATCTAGTGCAACAAATGAGAACAATTCTGAGAAAATATGACTTATGCAAGCTTGCATAAAGACAATAATTTTTCATAAGACTGACTAAAAACGACGCTAATCAATATAATATTAGTAGGTATTATTTATACAATACAATATACTTTTTCTTATCATAAATTCATACATCTATAGCAGAAAGCTGGAATTATAATGAGTGGTCGAAAAATAAAAATACGCTAAGTATGAAACAACACTTGCATCTTGACGCTGTGAATAACCTTCGTATTTCTATGTCAGCTAAAGAGAAGTGCATTGCACAGCAATAAACAGAGAGCTGAAAATTTTGGGACTAGATTTAATTGAAACATACGGTTGATTAGACAGACGGATATGACTTGATCAAAATTGCTTTGAATTTGAATATTGTTTGTCATATACTTTTATGTACGTTTTTTTATATGCTCGGAATATCGACTTTGTCCTTTTTTTTTTATTAAATGTAACTTTTTTTATATGCTATTCGAATTCTAAAAAAGATTTGGTGTACAAAAATATGTATTAATAAATAAAGCTCTTTAGATATAATCTGTATTATAAGCTGTTAGTTCTTTTATTATAATAATATTATATTTTGTAAGGTTCAGCTTAAAGAGTATAGGAGTATACTAGGAAATGTTAGTATAATATCTACCAATTGCCATTTTACTCAACTTATCAGCTTAACTTATTATATTTACCGAAACGGAGATGGGGGATTTCCGTTTAATTCCAGTTTGCGATATGATTCCTCTATTGGACTTAAAATATCGGTGACACTAAATGGTGTTGAGTGATTATTATTAAATAAAGAACTCTGATGCTGACTATGCAGGCTCTGAAGGTGGTGAATATTTGAAATATTATGATGGTGATGTGCAACCGCTACAGCGGTTGCTGTTGAAATCGGGTTCTGTGCCGATGTTTGGTTTATATTTAATTTGGTAGGAGGCTCCAGTTGGTGATGCTGGGAAATGGCTAAAGGTATAAGTATGTCTTTTGGAGATAAACTCATAACCAAATCCGATTCATTTAATGCAGTTAAATTTGGCTCTCCATTTATAGTTATTTCTCTATAGCATTTTTTTTCATTTATTGATGTATCAATAAGGTTTGAGGCTGACATACGAAGTAATTTATCACCAGCTTGCAAATCCACGTATTTTTATAACTCTAGAATAAGAATTTAAGTTGTTAGTATTTTCAAATAATTGTAAACGAAATTGCTAATTACAGTGTCTCATATAAAAATACGCTATACGGTTAAACCTATTTAATCTCATGTATATGAACTAAATATATCTACGTTTATGCTATCATACGTTAAACGTATTCTATAAGCCATTGAAATGTAGCTACATAATCAATTAAAAGCACAATGGTACAGCTTTTTTAATTTTCCCAAGTAGAAATGGCAACAATTCTGAAAGGTGAAAGCTGCCACCCCTGGGTACGCCAGTGGTTAGAAATAATATTGTTTAAATTACAGCAGTTTCATATATAAAACATCATTAATTTATATTCTGTTAACAGAAATATCAAACATCAAAATTCGGATCAATTTTTGCGAAAACTTCTATGAAAAATTCAGCATATAAGAGACAAGCAGGAATATTATTGGCTATTAATGCTGATTAAGGATATATATATATATGTATGTGTATATATACTATATACATACATCTCTATGTAAATATGTGTACTCATACCGCGCATAAAAATAAAGTTTTACTTAAGCCATGTTGAAAAGCTTAGTTCTTGTAGGAACTGAAGCATAACTCTCACTGAAAGGAAGGGTAACTTCAGCCACCCAAGCTTTTAATACAATACCCTTACGAAAATCGTAACATCCTATTTTGATTTAATTTAGCTGATATATTTATCATTTTGCGATACTTTTGATTGTATTTATTTGTGTGAGTGGTTTTATTTTTTTTTCTGCTCGTATTATTTAATAAAAAAAACAATATTAACCTTCAGCTTTAATCATCTTCGGAAAAAAAAATGTTTCTCACTGTTGGCTGTTCCCTCATATCCATATGTATGTTTATGTATGTAAATATGTATTTACTTACACCTCTACATATTCCGTTAACAAAAAAAGGAGAGTTTGTACATAGTTATATCGAGATCACTATTAAGCTGACGGAGAGAAGGATGTGGCACCTTATTAATTTGCACATACACATGTAAGTACATACATGTGTAGATATCTATTCTCTATCCGTTAGATATGCTATAATCTGTGCGTTAAAATGTGGTATGGATTTCAGATAATTTTTTAATTTAAATTTTGTAGTAGTATCTTAGTACTATGGTATGCGTATGAACGTAATTATTATATATATTATATATACATACAGTAAGTACATATATTATTCGGACACCCTTGTCACTCTATTTTAAACACCTATAACTTGGCGTACAGTTAAGTTAAACAGAAAAAGATCAACATATCTACTATCTGTTCATAAAAATATATTTTAATTTTCTACTTTGGTATCCTCATAAAAATTAACCAAAGCAAAAAGGCTTAATTTACTTTTCGCAAGACTTTTGGAGGAACACAAAGCCAGATTAATTTCTGGAGTATGTGATTTAACTGGTGAATCCAAATAGGACATATTTAGAATTGATGGACCTTGCGAAAAGTAAGTTAACCCATCAATGAGAAAAATCGGATATCAACTGTAAGGCATGGCGGAGGGAACATAGTGGTTTGTATAGTGGTGTATAGGTGCAGCTGAAGCTGTACAAATGGTCTTCATTAATGGTAAAACTAACAAGTACATGTTCAATGATAGTTTGACTGACAAATTGCATACATGTGCCATTAAACTTGGGCATAATCCAAAGCCAATCTTGTACCAGCCAAAAAAATACAAATCTTGCTCATTTCACACAGCAACCAGCTGAAAACTCAGCTCCAGTTACCTGACTTAACTTCCATGAAGCATGTTGGAAAAAAGGATACGGAAGCCCAAAATTTCATCGAAAGAATCCTTGCAATTGGCTCAGCTTGTTTAGTGGGTCAATATTAATCCATAGGGCACTAATACCTTGGGGGAAAGGTTGTGTCGAGGACTTATGGACATCATAAAGAAATGCGGCAAAAACAAAATATTTTTTAGCTGAAATATTCAAATATTAAATGAAGAACCCATTAAACTGTCCGAATAATTTATGTGCGTTAAAAATATACTTTTTGCTTTAGTTAATTTTTATAAGGATACCATTCGTCAATATTTAAAGAGTTAAGCAAGTATTCAGATTCATTTTTATATACATACATATGTACATATGTATGTATGTATGTTACTTCTTTCGAAATCAAGGGAAACTCTATTTTAAGATGGCTTATATAAAATGGTGAAGATGAATTTCAGTTTTCCATATTTATAAGGTTACAATTGAATACAAAATTTAATCAATGCATTGTATACAAATAAGGAACTTGTCATTTAATAGTTTGATCTTTACAATCGAAACTTAATTTCTTCTCCGAATACACACACGAGTATGTATGTATGAAAGTAACGTATACTTATAGTCGCATATTTACAATTCAATGTGTATGTATGTTGTGTGTACATATGTAAGTTTATGTTTATGTTTTTGGTTTTTTTTTACTGTAACAAAAACTACTAAAATAACAATCATTTACACTTTAAATAGCATGGAAAGAAACCAACCAAAAATTTTCTATAACTTTAAGCTACTTATATACATACATATGTCTGTATATACACCAAATATCAATATTAACATATTTATGTATGTAAAAGTTTAACAGCCTCAATGTGGAATCTTTGATTCATCGAAACAAAGTCGTGTTAAATTAAATTGGTTTTGTAATTAGATCCACTTTTACTTTGTAATTAGGTTCACAGTTTTTACGGTAAGAATTTAATCAAATGAATTGAACTCACTCAATTTTGTATATAAACATAAAGCAGAGTATATACCCGAATATAATAAATTGATAAACATGGACTTGATGTTGAACTATTTTAGCTGGTGATTTTAAGCTTGATTTTGAAGATAAAATGTTTACTGCCAAATCACTTAGAATATGTAACACCTGATTTTTGTTTCTTCAGCACAATATAAGTATGTATGTAAATTTCAACACATATAAGCCCACGTCAGTGAATTTATTATGAATATCCACTCGACACGATTCCGTCAAATGAAATAAGAGGTCTGAACAGTACTGACGAGTACTCCTCAGATGGCTTCTGGATAGCCCTCGAATAAGTTTTTCCTATTAACGATGACTTTGTGCTGTGTTTGGTACTGGCTATACACTTCGTTGAACAAAACAAACATGAAATATTGCTTATTCATTTTTCTTTAGCCAGCCAATACGAGCTCGAGAAATATTGAGGGCGGGCTGGAAGCAAATTCGCCGTGAGGTTACTGCTGCTCGTTGTAACAGCGCTACCTACTGCCTTCGTTTCGCGTTATACTCGTTTGGTTTCACTCGCACCAACAATGGCATGTCGATTTAAGTACACCAGAAAGAGATGGCTACTGCTCATATAACGTTAAATACATGTACATATACATTTGAATCGTTATTCTGACAAAAGCCGTCCACCAATAGCAACAAAGATGTTGTTTCAACCCCAGCTGAGCCTATGGGTTTTTAAATAGTTCAGGAATGCTGCAGATTTCCTTCTTCCAAGTTGTTGAATTTGCTGCTAACAATGGAACTCTTGCTAAGCCGGTATTTTCACACAATATAACAATGCCGACCCGTACTCTTACTCTCAAGAACCAGCCTCCAATTTTTTGACAAGCTCTACACCATTCACATGCACATATCTTAAATAAATACAGTCTGATCTATTTATCCATTGTCCAGATGTTAATCACAATTTCAATAAACGCATGCAGTTTATAAAATAGTTGCTGTAAAATATGACATGCTTTTTAATCACAGCTTAAATACTATCAGAGCTAATACCGGAACATATCGGAACGCACCAAGAATATTTATTTTTCAATAAAGTTTTTGGTTTTTCGAATTTTTGGAATATTCGATATGTGAAAACTATAATTCAACCACTTTTGCTTACCTTGAGAATGGCGTAGGCAGATCCAATGCCAGGTACATCAAGAGCATGCTCTAGAATTTCAGACAAAACAGTCGCGCCCAATCCATCGTGCTTATCTATTCATTTATTTTCCTAGTCAGAATATATGTAAAATGTGATAAAGCTTGGCTTTTACTTACATATGTACATACATATGTACACACGTACACACGTATGTAAGTAAAAGCCAAGCTTTATCACATTTTACATATATTCTGACTAGGAAAATAAATGAATAGATAAGCACGATGGATTGACTGGGAAAATAAATGAATAGATAATAGATATTTATACATAAATAAGTACAAAAACGAGGCCGCCCCGACGGATCCGTACTTCCTGG